CTGTTCCCCACTCTGTCTCTGGTGAAGCCTTTCGCCGCCCCTGAGCCTCTGGCCTGTACCCCAGTTCTGTATGCACAAATAAATAAATCTTTAAAAAAAAAATGAATACATTGAATTTACTTTCCATAGTGGAGAGGACTTTATCAGCACTTTTGGGCATGGTGTAAGAAACCCAATACAAAAATAAAAACTCTGATTTACTACAAGAAAATTCACCTGGTTTCAAGAGTGAATGATTTAGTTCACTGCAATCTATTTAAAAATAAGTAACTCCTGATAAATAGAGATTAATTATGTTTTTCATAAACCCAAAAGGAGAGAAAGGACTTGAAGTGAGGGGATAATAATAAACTAAATATATTGATTTTCTTAGGGTAAAAGAAGCAATAGTTTAGACAGTAGCCAAAATAATGTCCAAGCACTATGCTTTTTCATCTTTCTGCAGAAAACATTCAGTCAAATTGACTGGGTTTCCATGTCTTACCTTTGTATTTTCTGTGACTGCAGGAATTCAAGTACTTGGTTATGTTCTCACTAAACAACTGAACTATGAAACAGCTGAGATATGAAAGTGACTCTGAGATCACCCGGAGGACTTGCTGGTATACAGTTGGATTAACCAGCCAGCTACAGTGTGATGTCTGAGATGGGGACTGAGAATCTGAATTTCTAGTAAGTTCCCAGGTGGTACTGAAGTGCTGGTCTGGGAGCCATACTCCTAGAAACACTGTCACCTTTAGATGAGATCTCACTAAGAAATACATACTAAGCTGAGTGTTCACATTGGAAAGACTGAATTAATTTGATCGTTCACTGAGAATTGACAGCAACCCATCTGCCATTTGTCACGTAAAGATCTTCATCTACTTCAGAGTAACACTTTGCATAAAATAGTGAGGGAGAAACAGTAGCTTTTTACCCAGAGAAAATGTTTATTTACATACCCCTCACCCAAATTTCTTCCAGACAGGACAACATTTGAAACTGGCTTTTCCAAGGGGATGACTTTCTATTCTATTGGCTTCTCTAATCTATAGTTACCTGAAAATGCAAGGAGCAGTCCTCATGCATTTAGCCCTTTGGAAACTTCTAGACAACTGAATACTCAGGCTGCTCTAGGCACTTGCAATTTTACCAGCTGAAGGCAGTGAGAGGTCACTTGCCTCCAGCTAGCTTGTGTATGTTGTGGCAACAGAAAAAAATAGTGCCAGGCTGCTTCTCTACTGGAGCAACAGCTTTTGTGTGTGTGATATTTTCTAAGCCTAATGTTTTGCTATCTGATGATGGAAGAATTAGAAACATTAGACAATTAAGTATTAGGGTTAAAATAAATATAGGAGAAGCAGGAAAAGGATAAGGTAGGTAGAAAGTTGTAGTTCATTTAATAATAAAAAAAATAACTTCCATTTTTAGACCAGGAAGCAATTTGTTCAGATTTTGCTTACCCTAGAGTGGCAGGCTTCCATCAAGGGTAAGAGAAGGATGAGGGAAGGGGAGTAACCATGGCAACATGCCCAGCTCTGTAGGCGAGGGTAGTATGGGGTCGCAAGCACTTAGAGGATAGTAATTCTTGCCTAGTCACTTGGCTTAGCATGGGTGGTCTCTCCCTTCCCACTTCCTTCTGCCCCAATGCTGACTTCAGGGGAAGGACGGCTCCCTCCCTGCAGGGGTCTAAGAAGAGGGTGGAAAGACTTCAGTGAGCTTCAAGGTCAGCTTGACCAAACCAAACTGCAGGCAACAGGTCAAAGGACCGAGGATGACTCTCTCTGCCTGTTTCAGCAGAGCACTGCGAATACATGGACTTTGTTTACAAATTAAGTGCTTACATGATCAGCATTTTTCAGGTAAATGAGGACCGTCTAGGTTTGACAAAGAAATTCTTCATTCCGCCTTCACAAATACATAATTCAGTTGCTTGGACCAGGATAAGGGGTAGGGAAAAAACAAGACTGACCATAAATTTCTATGTCAAACAGAATAAAAACTTCTAAGTTTATTAGACCAACAGTCTTCCCAACAAGCATGGGGTAGATACAATCATTCTCTCCAGATTAGACAGCATAAGAGCAGAGAGGTTATGCAATTTGTCCAAGGTCACATAAGCAGCCAAGGTGTTAATTAGGATTCAAACTAAATCAATGGGATTTAGTTCTCTCAAGCTACTCAGCTGTGCTGGATGTGAGCTAGGGTCTGACAGGAATGTTGGCCCTTCCTGTACACACTTGACAAACTTTGTTCTCCTCATCAGATCGTAGTGTGATTTTTTTGTAAAGTAGGAGAAGCATTGGCCAGCTTTCCTTCAGATTCACAGGAATGATGCAGTTAGTTAGGATTCATTCCCCTGATCAGGCTTCCTTAAACACACACACCTGCTATTAAAGCCGTTTTACCTACAAGTGATTTTGGCCAATCTCTGAACAAATCAGAGGCAAACTCCAACTTTGGAATTACACATCAGGTTACTCAGGTGTTTCATACTGCCAGTCTGAGTTGGACACTGCTTCGCTGTTAAGGATAGAGAATCAGAGCTGTTTGGTCAGTCACCAAAATGGCCCCCAACCGTGAGGTTTCCACCCGGGGAGGCCTGTTCTGAAGGCCTTTCGGTCATCTTAAAACCCTGGAAAATCTGTCTTCAACAGCCTTCTCAAGCATTTCAGCATCTTAGGTCTGTCTTTACGAAGAGTGTTCATTAAACCCTCAGGTTAGAAGAGATGGAAGAAGAAAATCACCTCTAGTGTTTGAAATTATACACATAAAAAGTGTCAGTGCATGCGAATTTAAGCTTCTGAACATATGCACAGGATTAAAAAGGAAGCTGCAAAACTCAGGGGTCTACCAGAAGGCCAGGAATGCACAAAGCCTCCTTCCTGCCAGTGCCCATCAGCCAGGTATCTGTCTTACTACACTCCTTCTCTTCAGGTCATTGAGACCAGACTGAGTAGCCCCAATAAAATATCATCTCCTACCCACTAGTCTGAAGTTTCTAGAGGTCTCTGCCCTGCCTTCATACCAACAACTATCCTCCAAGCCATTCCCTTCAACCTGAATCGGGTGACTGAAATCCATTCACCAATTTTGAGCAAGAAACAAGTCAGCTGAATATATAGGAATTAAGACATTTAATAGAATCTGAGACTATATCTTAGGTATACATGAAGGTTCTGGATTTTATCCTGAAAAAATCAGGCAGATTTTCACAGGTGCTGTGAAAGTCTCACTTTTACATCCTCAAGGTCAGTTATTCCAAGACCACCCAAGGGATGACATATATGTCATAGTCAAAGTTGGAAGACATAGACCCTACCCTCTAAGTGTTCTGGTCATACATGAAATATAAGAGAACTGGTCTCTGGGCCAGTTATTTTGGATACAAAGGGACATAATTAGGGATGGAAAGGGAAAAAGGAAGTTAAGTTATTCTTCAAAACAATGAAAAAGAATCCAGTCTGCTTAGGAGAAAATGGATTAGGAATTTAGAGGTCTGGCCCAGAAATACAGGCTCCTGGCTATGTGCATCATCTGGGAGGTACCCCATCCACATGGCGCTCTCTGTGTTGACTAAGTAGGGCGGAGCTCCATCCATGACGTCAAGGTCTTTCCCAAAAGATTAAGGAGAGCTTAATCCTTACATACTCCTGAATTGTCAGGGGGAAGAAACTTTCTGATGTTATCAAAATGAGGGGACAGAACCTGGGGGATGGGACCCAGAAGAGCACCCCCAATGCAGGTCTGGTTGCTGGTTTAAGGTGTATGAAACATGGAGATGTCTGAATGGTGGAGCCAAGCTGTCATGCATCCCATTTCTAGGTAGTTCTCCACCCCACCCCCCGTGTCCCCCACACAGCCAGCTGATGCAAACATGGGGAACCAACCTCAAGCCTGTAAGGAAGGCCAAGTACAGATCCATCAAACCTATTCCAAGAGCCCTATCAGGTATCTTGAAATCATGGCTACCTTCTTTCCTTTGCCATGATTTCTGTTCTGTCTTACCTCCTGCTCCCCCACTCCCCTGGTGTGCCTGATTAGGGCCAGAAATTTTTTCATTAAGTCACTTTATAGTGCAATAACAACATTTACTATTCATGAAGTCGCCTCTCCATAATTTTAAGTCTTTCCATGTGTCTGGAAGCTTATTTCTTCTCTTCTCATTTTACAGAGTGCCCCTCTTCCTTCCATACACAAACTAAAAAGAGGAAAAGGTAGGGGGTGGGAGGGTGGAGATAACATCCAGATCTTTTAAGTGTTTTTAATCCAGATAAATTTCCCTTTGGACTCCGACAGCTCCCTGCTGAAATGGACTGCGGACCTGAATTCCAGGCTAAGAATTAAGAGGAAAGGACGGCAGAAACAAATAACAGAGTCAGCTCTATGCAATGAAAACCACTATGTTGACTAGGACTTCATGGTTTTAACCCATTCATCTTCCCCCTCTTTTCTAGAATTTTACTTAGTCTTCCCGGGCCCACTTAACTCAAGCAGGCGAAGCCATTTAAATGCTCCCTGCTTGGGGATTTAAAACAAGTTTTTCTTCAGTCTCTTGGCAGATGCTGTCTTAGAACGTGGGGTGTAAGAAAAAGTTCACGTTTTAAAGCCATACTACCTTGTCAGTCCTCTGAGAGAAAAAGGCTTCTGAACAGCACAATCCAGGTCCCGGGCCAAACATAAAACGCCCTGGGAGGAGTTAACTAGGCGGTCAGCAACCCCACCAGCGTCCTACCCGGCTGCCCACAGAGCCTTCACACAAGCGCAGACACACACACACAAGGGGGGCGCTTGTTAAATGTCACTAACTGGACATCTGGAGTCGTGCCCCAAAGGTAAACGCACTCCACGGGAGCATTCCTCGGATGTCAGGCCACAAAACCACTTGTTCCCCCAAGAACAGTCCCAGGACTGCACCCAGAGAGGGAGAAAAGCAAAAGAGAGGAGGTCGCCAAAAAAGGAGAAAAAAAAAAAGGAACCAAAGGGGAGCAGCTCTGAAAGCGCCTCACAGTACTCACAGGCTAGCGCTGGCTCTGCGGAGCGAGCATGACTTCCAGTCCCCGCGCCTCCCGGCTGCAGCGCAGCTTCCACCACCGGCCGCGCTTAAATAGCCGCGGGCCCGGGAGCCTCGGAGCTGCGCGGCCACTCCCGGCGAGATATGGTTCTAATCAGATGCTGGCGGCTGAGGACTCCCCTGGAATGCGCCGGGATGTTTTTGCTGCCTGGGCTTGGTAACTCCCCCTCAACGTGTCTGCTGAGTCTTCCAAACTTAACTGTTTATTAACTCGAGCAGCCGCCACGCGGAGGACTGGGCTCCCCGCGGCTCGGTGAGCCCCGCCAGCTGGGGGCGATCGCAGGGAACCCCAGCCGGGGAGAGGAGAAAAGGAGTGAGCGTGCCTCTGAAGCACCGTACTCGCAGGGCTGGGAAAGGGACACAGGGGAGGGAGCAAATAAGGACAGGAAAGGGAAACTCAGCAGGAAAGGGGTGGGATCCACCCTGTCTTCATTTCACAGATTCCTTCTGGAGATTGCCACTTCCAGCGATGCGGCCGCAGGCCGTCCTAGCCCGTGGGCTCTTGAAACAAAGGACGCCTTTACTCCTGACCTTCCTGCAAGAGGCCCCACTCCTGCTCAGATCTGCTCTCTCTGCAGTGGGACGGTGGGACTGCCCCCCTTTTAAAGGAATTGGTGTCTCTCCCTGCAGATTGGGTGCCCTTAGATTGTTGGAAAATCTGTGCGTGTGTGTAAAACGGTACTTACATAGAAAATATAATCCTGTATATGCAAATACAACAACTGTACTCTATGAAATTGTCACAGAATTGCTCATGTCCTTAGAATCTTTCAAAGTGAGCTATATAGATCTACTGTAAACAAGACTAGAGGCTGGCTTCCCTCCGTGTGTGCAGATACGTAACAGGATAACAGGATCCTATCTGCACTCATTTCCGTAGCTTTTCCTGTACCTCCAAGAAAAAGTGATAGCTGAGAAATAAAGTATCAGAAAATACTGGCTCAGTGTTCGGCAGTAGAAGACACCCCAAGCCCCATTCATGAACCCAAACAAGAGGAAATTCGGCTCCTCACTTTTTAAAATCACAGGAACATAACCAGACGTTTTGTTGCTCTTTAAGAACTATGAAATTACCTTTGTCATTCCTGTGTGCCCACTGTAAGTCAGAAGCTGTGCATTCAGTGTGAAAATGCTGAATAGTGACTTGGATGGGAAGAGGTTATTGACTCTATTGAGTAAGCAACGCACAATGGAGTTGCATTTTACCTCTGCAAACTGAGGGTTCAAATGGGACTCCTGGGACACCAAGAGTGTGTTTTGTGGTCCCAGCCTAACCCAGACTGCAGGGCCACTGTGTAATCTGGAGCAGCCCAGTGTGAGCGGCGCCTGCTTTCCACCCCCAATGAGCAGCAGCCCCAGGACAACGGATGGGACTGACCCTCTGCCTTTGTGGCTTCTGCCACCTGTCTCATCCCCTCTCACCTGGTGCTCTGGGGCTGGGGCGCTACAGTGTTCCATATTCTTCTGAATTTTTAAAAGAGATTTATTTATTTGTGCATACAGAGCTGGGGTACAGGCCAGAGGTGCAGGGGCAGTGAGAGGATTTACCAGAGACAGAGTGGGGAGCAGAACAGGCAGATCAATGAAGTACACTGCTGAGGAGAGCAATGGATGGTCAAGGGGTCTGCCGCTCCATGTGGGTCAGCTCAGGGGTGGGGATCGAACTCATGCTGAAGTGACTTTAGCTTCTCAGTGCTGTGCTTTAACCCACTGTACCACCGGGAGGGCCTCTTCTGAATTTTATGTAATTTGCCATTAGTTAAAAAGAATGGCATCATAGCCCTCCCTGGTTCTATATGACAAATGTTATATAAACTTCATTCTTAGATTGGTTTTTGTAACATTTGGTCAGAGAACTTTAATTCTGTTACATCTCGGGAATATAGAAATAGCCTGGGAAATTGATAGCTGATTTTAAGCAAATAGAGGCTTTGGCAATTTTAATTAACCCCAATGTGTAATATTTTTCTCAATTCGGAAGTGGTCACTTAAACATTTTTTTTAATTGAAAGGCTCTTACCAAGAAATGTTAACTTATGTTTACCCCACCAAGTGGAAGGGATTTGTCTAAGAAGCCAGAAGAAAAAAATATTTCATCTGCAGTGAGCTGCTGTTTCAAGAGAAGACATTCGTGAAAACAGTTTATTTATGAGCAGTGGGCTCACACAATTTAAAATGGACAGCTCTGTCATTTTGCATGGAAATCTTTAGAGTCAACAGTGGAGAACTCTGGTTTGAAGTATATTTTTGTGTCTCTAGGGTGCTGATATTGCTTCTGGCAGTAATTCAAAGTCCTGCTCACATTAAGGGGAAAAAAAGGAACAAAAGTAAATTTAACCCTTTTTTTATCACTGGAGAAACATTTTTTCCTGTCCCCTCAAAGTTACTCAGTTCTCAGGAAGTCTAAAATGAACATCCTTGCAGTTGGAGACTCACCCAAGCCTTCCTGATGTTCGCTCTGCCTAAGCCTGGTCTCTCTCCTTGCCACTGAAATATTTGTCTAGAAATGTGTGGTGAGGAAAATGCAATGTGTGGTTTGAAAATCTGTGCTCCTTTCCTGACTCTTCTCCTTGCACAAAACCTGCCTATGAGGGAAAAGGAAAAAATAACAAAACTGACGACTCTGTTCCCAGCTAGGAAAGCGGTAGTTAATCCCGTGATGGCTTGCTGAAGAATGCATGGTTTATTATTAAAGTAATCTCTTAAGATTTTCCTGGAATGTGCTTCCACAGCAACTCTGCCTTTGTGAGCTATCCTATGTATGTCTTTTCTTCTAATTAAGCTGTTTT